AAATAATGACCAATATATAAAGAATTGGGACACTCCTCTTAATAAGGTTGACCTTATTAAGATGGACCCCAAGTCTTCACAATATATTTTGAAAATAATAAGAATCAAACAAGGAATTAATCTTTAACTGTTGCATAGCTGACGGTTAATCATAAAAGTTTCCTAAAGCTCTATTGAATTGTCGCACAAATTTTGCATGTGCAATTATAGAAGCTAGGATTTTTGTTACCTTTATTAGTGTCCAAAAAAGTAGAGTTAGACATATTTCTACGAGTATCACAAAATAACTTGATGAAAACTTAGACACCATCGTTCATTGAAGACTAATTGTGACGGAAGTCTTTCGACCGGCCAACTCTTTTCTAGAAGTAGAAGATCATCTGGCTTCTGTAATAATAAATTGAGGACCAGTAGTGCAATTTGTTCAAAGTAGATAGTCGCCAGTGGCAAATTAGCAATATTTCTCAATTCAAAACCCAAATTTCATATCCCGCTATAAATATCGACGTCTCCAAGCACAGAGTAGTCTCTCACTCTCTCTGCACAAACATGTCAGGTTACCATAATTATCCTTCAGGCTACCCTTACAGCGCACCGCCTTCTCAGAACTATTCCTCCGCCCCCTACGGTGCTCCGGCATCAGGGCCGCCACAACCAGGCCAATCCTCAGCCTACGCACCTGTAGGGACGCCATACTCCGCTCCCTCAGCTCCTCCCAACAAACCTCCAAAAGACAACCCCCATGCACATGGTCAGCCCTCGGCTCCCTATGGCGCACCTCAGCACTACGGCGGCTACCCTGCTCCACCGCCTTCTGCTCCGTATGGAAGTAGCCCGTTTGCCTCACTCGTGCCCTCCACGTTCCCTCCTGGCACCGATCCCAACGTGATTGCTTGCTTCCAGGTAGCCGATCAGGATGGCAGTGGGCTTATAGATGATAAGGAGCTCCAGCGGGCGCTATCTTCGTATAATCAGAGTTTTAGCCTAAGAACTGTTCACCTTCTCATGTATCTCTTCACCAACACCAATACCAGAAAGATCGGTATGCATGCTTCTATCTCTTTCTCTATCTGTGTTTATGTGTGTAATTTTGTTAAATGTGTATGAACTTGTCATCACCATTTGATAAATCATCGGTCTTAATGAACTAGTCTATTAGTGGCAATTGGTATGTGGAAAATGAAAAGCAATCCACTCTGTGATTTAGGTTTACACGGAATCGTCCCACAAAATTTTCTGTGTCGAATGAGTGCGTTATGCACGATCTCCATGAATTCATTTCAGTTATTATTTTTTGCTTAGAAAGGGAAAGAGAGGCGTTTCTAATAATTACCTGTAGAAGATCGAATCACAAATTCTTTTCTTTGAATGGGGATACAAGAGATAAAGCAGAGTGCACCGCACAATCATGTAGCAGTTGAGTTGTCCAAAATTGCTTGCTGGTTGGAATTTGTCATTTTTGTTTCTGTATGGTGGGGACTGGAGCGATTAGGGGTGAGCAGGTTAGAATTCAGGTTAAAGAGTTGCCCAGATTAACAATTCTGGAAGTATGGAGTTAGGAAATGGTCAGGTGGTGCTGGTTAGTATTTGGGTTAAAGAGTGACCAGATTAGCAATTCGATAAGCATCGGGTTAGGAAATGATCAGGTGGTGCTGATCACCGCTCTTAGACTGTTGGAGTGTACGCAAAGTGCAATTAACATATACAGAACTAGACGGGACCAAAGAAGAGGCAAAAGCTAAAATCTTGTGTACTTTTTATAGTACTCCTCCGATCAGTGAAGCTTCCGAGATATGTTGGGAGGGCAGTGATTGCCTAGCACTTTGTTAGCCTGTCTCTTCAAGATAAATTTTGCCTTCAATTTTTGTTTTTCATTCAATTGCACATTTTTGCATAGCAATATTTTACCTTGACTCAGTTTTAGATTAGGATTTGCTTGGTGTACATAATTCTTTGTAGTCTCACACTCACATGGGGTGTGGCCTGTGCTCGAATATTTTATTTGAGTGGATCCCACCCCATGTGAGTGTATGGATACCCCAATGTACAAAAAATTATGTACAACTAGTATCATCCTTTAGATTATGACATTGTTATAGGAAATTTGAAATGTTAACGTAATA